AGAAACCGTTGGAATGTTTACTGTCGCGTGTCGCCACGAATATTTCTTTTAAGGAGAGCTATAGAATTACTCCATACCTTTGTTAGACAAAGCGTTCATCCCGTAACCGCGGCTACGTTCGGCGACTGACTGTCGCCTCGAGCCCAAGCTCACTATCACAACTCTCGAACAATTACAATCGGATTGAATAACTACAATTGTTCAATTACAGACTCCGGTGTTCTTTCATCTCCGACATATTTATATATAAATAAATGGTTGCTATGTCTTTTTCCCACTTATATTGCAGTCTATGTATAAAAAAATTTATTTTCAATACGTTGAATAATATTTGTTGTCGTATACTACGCACAAGCACTCATTTCTCGTAATAATCCAAAAGGTACAAATAGAAATTTGTACGTACATTTTTTGATGAAGTTTCGAAATAGTCCAATAAAAAAAATTCTAATTTGTCCTTAGAACTCATACATTGAACTATATTCGAGAAGATGACAAACCAGATATTAACGAATCTTCTTTCAGACGATATTAACGGGTCATTCATATTGTTTACGTGTACCAAACGCAGAATTTTCCTTTTTTGCCAATTAACATTAAAATCTAAAAACTCTTACAACGTTGTTATTCAACTTTATTGCAATCTTATTCTACTCAACAATTAATCTATTCTAATGGCATAACGAATCATTATGTAGTTACCATCGTCGGTATGGCTAGGTGGTTTTTTCAATCCTCAATCATTCCTAACTGCAATTATGCAACAAACCGCAAGCAAAAATGAATGGCCATTGGACAAAATGTGTTTATATTGCGAAGTACTGCGAAAAACCAAAGAAGAAATCACGTAATTATTAAAAACATTACTCCGTCATTCCTTCAAACATATCCTTTATTTTTGTTTTTCCTTACTGTATGATGTTAATGTCGGGTATAGTATACTTATCGCACATGTACAATGGTGAAAAAAAATATTTGTACATACACATCCTTATTTTTTAATGAACCTTTTTATGGCGAAATCCACGATTTATTTTCGTAGCATCAATTTTTGGTAGTCGTATGAAAGTACTATTATATATATTGTTATATTATATTATACAGTATATAATACTATTAAATGACACAAAGATCACTGCGGATGAGTGGGGAGAATGAAGAAGCACGCGCGCGTACACACGCACACAGGATTAGAGTGTTGGTTCATTTATAGTATTGTATATCACTTTTTGTTATTTATTAATTTCATTTTATTATTAAGTTGATATGATTTTTTGAGAACGCGATGTAAACTTGTGAGGATTTGTAAAGTTAAACGAAAGTGAGAGTAGAGTTTATAGCAGCGAAAACGAGCAACGGATTATTGTCTGAACTAGAAGTCATGTAACCCCATAAGGGAAACAATAAATAATGGCATTAGACTTAATATATATGAATCTAATTAATTAGTAGCTATATAAATGCTCTAATAAGTACAATAATGTACAAATATTATTTATAGCTACTGAATTTGCGATTATCTTCTTATATGTGTGTGTGTATATGTGTGTATATGCAAATATTTTAAAGTATTAATAAATAAAGATATCTTATCTGTAATTTTAAATATTCTTAATATTTTATTTCAAGTACATTTTTTTAAATGAACTCACTAGTTTCCATCTTTAATAAAATTCAGTTACAATTTGTGTAAATTTTATTCCAAAGTAATAATAGATTTTTCACTTAAACTTTACAAATTAGCACCAAGACAAGGCGCATATATAGACAGATTGTACATGGAAGGTGCACGATGGGACGTTCAAACAGCATGGACTCTCGATTTAAAGAATTGTTTCCATTATTACCAATAATGTATATTAGGGCGATTACACAGGACAAACAAGATTTAAAGAATATGTCCTGTGTATAAAACACGATCGCGAAGTCCTACTTATGTGTGGACCTTCAATTTAAGAACTAAGGAGAGAGCTAGTAAGTGGATTCTTGGTGGAGTGGCAATTCTATTACAAATCTAATTTTATTAATTAAATTATGGACTAAATATGCAATTAAAATAAAGATTTTCGAAATTGTCGTAGAGTGTTGGTATTCATTTTTCAAAACACGGTATTATTTTATGCAAGATAATATTTATGTAGAAGAAGAAGCACAACGCTTCTCCACGCACGATTACAATTTATTTCTCCATTTTAAATTTCTTTATAACTTACAAAAACGTTAATTCATACACACATTTTGTAACAAAGAGATTGTATTTGAAATTAAGAGAATTTGAAATTAAATTATTAACTTAAAAAATAGATATTATTACAATTTTATAAAAAAAGTTGTTTATTTGCAACATTAGAATTTTATACACATCAAAAATTGTTGGTACCAGTACTTATCTTCTTTTGAACCCATATTTTTTCCTTTCATAAAATAGATCAGTCTTTGAACTCCCAAGATTTACAATCTTTGGACAACCATCACGCTGCAACAAACCAAATTTCAAATCTTAATCTATTACTACACATTATAAGTCATATATATATATATATATCATATATCATATATATATATATATATATTATATATATATCATATATATATATAAATGCCAGCACATTCTGTCTTCCTTGATATGCTGTAACTGTCTATAACTTTTGATTTTATTGAGATATTTTTTCATATCTTTTTTATGAATATACTTATCTAAATGAATTAAACTGTAGCACTCTATGTTGTAGTTTTATTACCAGAGTACACAATACATAGTATAGTAGTGCTGCACAATCTCTATTCGATTGACATTGTCATAGAAAAAGAATTGATAACATGCATTAAATAAGATTTAGATGTAAATCCAGCATACTATTTAAAATGGAAATTGTGAATTGAAGTATTTATTAAATACATAAACAAGAAAATTATGCAAATATTTCTCCCTTTCTCCCTCTATCTCTTCCTTTCTCACTATCTCCCTCTGCTTGCCAAAGAATATGAATGTTCATGAATATGAATGAAAGTGAGATAAACTATGCTTTTAAAAGATTCGAGCATTAAATTTATAAATTTTTCTTTAAAAAAGTTGTTTAGATGTTTCCCACTCATCTGAAAAATCATGAACAATATTATTGAATTCCTTTTGTTGCCTTTCTTATTTTAAATAAAATAAAAATTTCACAAGATATATACATATATATATATATAAGTTCAGAAGATTCTGAAATATTATAAAATTATATCTGTTCAAATTGACTGACTTCAATATGCTTTCAAGTTAATTAAAATACTTGTAAATATGATCATAAATTTATGGTAAAATGAATGATTCTATTAAACAGTTTATTAAAAATTACAAAAACGGAATTTACTCTTCCTACAAAGTCTTTATGTGTGCTTGAATTTATCTCCATTTATCTCGCACAGGACATGAAACAAGAATTACATGAAACTAACTACTTTGGTAATATAGGTGACAAAATAAAGTACTTCTGTTTAAAGAATCTTATAAAGATCATGCTACTTATAAATAAATTTATAGATAGATATAATAATTGATATACATATATTGTATTCAAATGAAATTGCAGTTCTAAATAAAGAAGTTTATATGCGAAGAAATTTTATTTTTATCAATGTATTTCTTTAAAATAATTTCCATTAGAATATAAGATGTTTCCCAAACTATAATTAAACTAATATAATTATTTTTAAAGTTTCTTCATTCCTTACCTTTACTTTATTTTCATTATAACAAAGTAAATAAAGTATTACATACAAAGTCTATAAAATAGATACATTAAAAACATTCATTTAATCAATCTATTTAATCATAATCAATTTTTAAATTTTGTCTTTCTTTAAATCTTTTACTATTCGGCTTTTCTTATAGGAATATATAAAAAATTAAGTAATATCGTAAACCAGCTTTGATGTATGTCATAAAATGAGAAATAACAAAGATATAAATCACAATAGTTAACAATCTGACCATTTAATAAATCAAATTTCATAATTTTATACTCAAAAATAACGAATGTAATATATTAAGAACACATATTAAATTATTTTTTTAAAAACTTACATCTTTCTCTTGGATTGTACATTCTTTGCAATAATAGGCATCAGACACACCAGGTCCACCACAGATAACACATCTGCCTTGATAAGATCCATAATTGCATTCATCACAAATCCGAACCAAAGTACAAGGTCTTACATAAGAATCACAAATTACACATTTACCGTCACATTTCTCGCATAACCTCCCTATTGCTGAAAATAAAAACTATTTTAATTATATATGTATACATAATGTTATTATTATCATATAGCAATTATATGATATTGGTAACGTTTTTATATATAAATCTATTTATCCCATAATTGTAATTTTACTTCTTCATTTTATAAATTTCTAGATAAATGGAGTACAATGTAAATAGAAGATTAATTTTATAGAAGTTAAGGTAAAAAATTGTTTACAGATACATATATCTATACAAGAAATTCGACACATATACTATTGATACATATATATATAATGAAAAATTACATAATCAATTAACAATGAAGGTACAAACAGATCTAATTATTTATTAAGGAAGTTTGTTGTTTATGTAAGAATATCACTATTTCTGATGAAAATATATTATAGTTAAAATCTGTAATAGTAAAATATTTATTTAAATATAACAGTAATAAAATAATTTCTTTTGTCTCTAAGTAAGAATTTCATAAAAAAATATATAAAGCAAACTTAACCTAAAATTCAAAATTGCAATTTAAGTACATGTATAAATCTTACCAACTCCCGGTTGTTTTCTACAAAAAATTAAATCTGGATGATGTTTTGCCATATCACAGAATTAGCAAAATTCTTTTAACGTATACGAAATACGAATTATTGTATGAATCTTTTTGTATCATACGTCACAAGCCAATACATTTAGAAATTTTCAACTTTGTTTACGTTTTATAGTGCCTTTTAAATCGACGACAGTTTGGACAATTTAGCATACATGCGAATAACTGTTTGAGAATAGTATTTAAAATATACAATATTTAACCAAATAATATGGAAATTTTCAATTTTATATTCTTGTCTTATTTAAGTATACCTAATATGATATAAGATTGTACTAAGGTATCATAATACAATTCTCTTATTACGTATTTTAGCGATTACTTGGGTTTGTTTAGGCGATTTCGTGCCTGTGTATTATTACCGCACTAGTCACCAGAGATTAGAGAATATTAAAAACAGAGGAAATTTTTCTTTCTGTTAGAGATGTAGGAACTAGGGAGATCGTCAGTCAACGTTCATGTGCGAAATTCTGCTAAAAAATGAACACCAAGAATAAGGACCTCTCTTGGTCAACGACTATACTATCAATACGACTCGTCTTCGATGCTCTTGGTAGTAGAAACATTTATAAGCACAGCGGGGAGGAGGGGATGAGCGATCGTGCGACTCTGGCATGTATTAGTAAGCAGAGACATGAAGAAATGTGCGTTCGGCATGGTGTACTACTAAAGGAAACATATATTGCTAGCCATATTATACACCTATGCATTTATTATACACCTATAATTCTATTTGTATTATACATTGTAGCATAAAAGGCTAAATAAAATAAAATATATTAAAATTATATAATAAGTATAACAAATAAATATATTAACACCAGCTAATACCTATGTCTGGCAGTGTAGAAAAAATTTTTCCTATTATTTTAAATAATACAATTGTTGCCAAAAAACGCAATTAATGAAAAATGTACACGGTTTCGTTTTGTTAAACCGGAAGGGATTGGTTCGAATCAAGTCAGAGACTTTATTTTTATAATGAATATAATAATAGTTCAAAAAAGTTATTTCTTTTAATTATATACAATATCTTTGAAAATATGGAAATTACAGTTAAACTGAGCAAATATGTAAATTATGTCAGTGTTATGGTAATATATTTTATATTGAACTATTTACAGTTTTTGTTGCGGTTTATAAAAGAAAAAAATAAAATTACACAAAAGAGGATGTGCGTTTACTATATAAAATAGTCTAAATAATGCTTTTAAAAAATAATGCTTAAAAACACTAAAATCTTGAAGTGTAATAAAAATACTATTTGGTGAAACTTCATGCGGAGTTTTGTAGCACTAGTCGTGTTCTTTTTGCATTACCGGGTTTGCAACTGTTTACACTGCTAGCAAATCTCAATGAATTCAATGTTTCGTTATAACATTCGTCTAAAGGAGATACGTTCAGTAACATCAAAGTTTTTGAATTGCCACCCAAAGACGGCATTAATAAATGAGTGAGTTTTGAGTTTCTGTATGGAATATGTTCTTGTTTTTTCAAAAGGGCCAAGATAACGTTGCCCAAGTTTGCTAACGATTTATTAATGTTTTTTGTTTCTGCCAGTCGTACAGATTCTTCCCCTTTTAATCTTTCAGATCCCGCTAGGTCAACTAAATTTAAGTTTCCTATTGAAATCTCCTCTTTTAACTGATGTGTTCCTACAAGCTTTATTCTTGTTACTGAATGCGACCTAGACGACCTAGAAAATTAAATTATGCATTTATTTTTAAGTCTATCATATTTGTACATCCAAGACAGAAAATGCGAATATATGTTTTTATGTATGTACCGTTCGTTCGATTGAGTAGCCGCAACTGCTCTATTACATTGCGCCGTCAAAAGGCACTCGTGCAATTCTTCGGGGCTATTAATTTCCTGTATTTTCAAATTACTGACATACAAATTGTGTCCCTTACTATCAGCCATTTTGATTTCATGTGTCTTAGCTTGAGAATCAAGCAAGTCAACAATATGCTCATTGTAAATCTCAAGGAAACTAGCTTCTATCTGATATTCCCAACCAAGTAATTGAAATTCTTTCATTTTTTGGAATATATGTCGTACCTGAATTATTAAAAAAGATCATACTATTTTACATTGCAAGTAGTAATAATATATATGTATATATATATACACAGGGTGGTTGGTACAAGTGGTACTAGTGGTACAAGCGGAAAGGGGGTGATTCTACGCGAAAAAAGAAGTCGAAAATACAGAATAAAAATTTTTTTTAATTTTTTTTTTAATTTTTCCATCGAGACAACGATCTACAGTGAGATCCGTTATAACGTGCCGCACGCGTACCGAGCGAAAATTCAAAGTCGATTTTCTCGAAAACAAAGCCTCAAACAAAAAATTTTTATTCTATATTTTCGACTTCTTTTTTCGCGTAAAATCACCCCCTTCTCGCTTGTACCACCAGTTACCAAGCACCCTATATATATATGTCGGAGATGAAAGGACGCCGGAGCCGACCCTCTGGAACTTCGGGAAAATCCGTAAAATTGCAATTAAAGTTTACAGTCATAATTTGCCGTCATCCTGCCCAATTGTACTTGTTTGCGATTTGTGATAATAAACTTGGGCTCAAGGCGACCATCAGTCGCCAAACGTAGCCGCGGTCAACGGGATGGGCGCTTCGCCTAGCAAGGGTGTGGAATTATAGTATGACCCTCATTAAAAGAAATATCAATAGAGGTACTTGACAGTAAAACATTCCAACGGTTCCTTCGGACAACGAATACCTGATGTTGAGGCACGTACACAGCACAAGTAAAGTTAACCCGAGGACTCGCTATAAAAGCTGCGTTTTTCCGGCAATTCTACGGATTTTGCCGAAGTTCCAGAGGGACGGCTCCGGCGTCCTTTCATCTCCAACATATATATATATACTGTTCAATGTATACCGTTCTAGGTATCATGCCTTCCATTTCAATACCCGGTAAACCTTCCATAGTATATGTTTTACCAGAACCAGTCTGGCCATATGCAAATACACAGACATTATACCCCTCTAAAGCGGACTCAACTAACAGGGCTAATTCTTCAAAAATATTTTCTTGGGTAGCAGTTGGTGGGAAGACTTTATCGAAAGAGAACTCTTGCCTGGTTCCTCTCGGTCTTCCGCTGCAACTAACTGAATCAGACCCATCAAATTTTCCTACTTCGATAGTGCATTCATCTACAAAGTTGATATTACACATCCTGGATAAATAAAATAAACATCATTAGGAAACTGTGTTGTATTTGTGACAATCAAATATTTATATATATATAAAATACATACACTTTTCCAAGTTCACTTGGAGTTC